GTTCTTTGTGAGCCTTAATACCTTGCAATTTGTCCACATATAAGAATTAATAGTTCCTCCGACAACTACTGGTCTTGTTGTTTTCGGAATAACAGGTAGGATATGTCTAAAATTGCCGCCCAAAACTATTGTCTTTCCACCATTTGACCATGATTAAAGACCGGCCTTCTAGAAAATAATCCCACGTGTGATAGTGTTTGCCATTGACTTTTATTTATTATATCATGACATATGATAGCATTAAAGGAAATTGTTTTCTTTGGAACTTGAAAGGCAATCATGAATCATAAGGTGATAACGACATTTGAGGAATTAAAAATACCTTTGTTCTTGCATTCGTTCCACACATAATCAGAGCTTCTAAAACATGACCAACCAACTTTGTAACCATTACACAGTCCTAATGAGTTATCTATATTTCTTAATAGCATCACAGGTGGTAGATTTCAGCAATCCATTGTGCACCTTGTAACCATAAACTATATTTCTCTTATTAAATGTGTTGCCTATTCATATTTTGCAGTGTTTAATGTTGAAAAAAAAAAATCTGTAGATTATGGTTTTAAGTTTCTGCCATTTTGTATCTATTTTTTTGAATACATAGTAGCTTATAGTTTAAAGTCCAACATATTATTTTATGATTATTTTTGTGTTGCATATTCATATTTAATTGTGTTGCATATTCATATTTTGCAGTGTTATTTCTCAAAAAATTAATATAGATACAACTTCAAGTTTCTGTCATTTTGTATCAATTTTTTGAAACCTGGAAAGTAGAAATCAATATATTTTATTATGAAGAGAGATTTTTTAGGAATTGGGCAGGAAGTTAAAATTTCAGAATTTTATTTTTATATATAGTATAGATTGATTGATTACAATAGAAATTGTATTACACAATTTTATAATATTAGAATAGAATTTTAACGCAGAATTATTGTACGAATGAGAAAGTAGAAATCAATATATTTTATTAAGAAGAGAGATTTTTTAGGAATTGGGCGGGAAATTAAAATTTTAGGATTTTGTTTTTATATATAGTATAGATAGATTGATTACAATAGGAATTTTATTACACTATTTTATAATATTAGAATAGAATTTTAACGCAGAATTATTGTACGAATGGGAAAGTGAAATCAATATATTTTATTAGGAAAGAGAAATTTTTTAGAAATTGGACGGGATGTTAAAATTTCAGAATTTTATTTTTATATATAGTATAGATTGACTGATTACAATAGGAATTGTATTACACAATTTTATAATATTAGAATAGAATTTTAATGCAGAATTATTGTACGAATGGGAAAGTTGAAATCAATATATTTTATTAGAAAGAGAGATTTTTTAGGAATTGGGCGGAAAATTAAAATTTTAGGATTTTGTTTTTATATATAGTATATATTATTTATTATTATTATTATTATTATTATTATTATTATTATTATTATTATTATTGTTATTATAATTACTATTATTATTGTCGCTATTATTATTGTCCCAGATCTGGGTTGTCTTCTCCGGCGTGTGGTGGCCTTCTCCGGGAGGGGTCTCCGTGACCGGTGACCATCCCTTTTTTGCCTGAAAATCTACCCAGATGTCGCTGAATTTGCAATGACCTAAGATAGTAGGTTATTTACCTGTATTTGGGCTTGATGATTGCATCAAAATACATTGTTCATGGGTGTAATTGCTTCTTAAAAAAGTTGGAGAGCCTAATTAACTTTTGAGCAATAGTTTGAGGCCTATTTAACCATTTTTCCATTATTATTATTATTATTATTATTATTATTATTATTATTATTATTATTATTATTATTATTATTATTATTATTATTATTATTATTACTATTACTATTACTATTATTACTATTGTTATCATCTTTTTCATCCTCCTTATGCACACAAATTTGTTGTTGTTGTTGTTGTAGTTATTATTATTATTATTATTATTATTATTATTATTATTAATTTATTATTATCTTTGTTGTAGAAATGTACAAATGCTATATAGGATGATTGTATTTAATAAAATTAAAAAATTAGAGAAATGAAAAACTGGAGGAATAGAGATATGGAAAATTAGAGTCAGTGGAGAAAGAAAAACTGGAGAAATAGAGAAATGAAAAACTAGAAATGGAAAAACAGAGAAATGAAGTAAACGACCCTACACCGAAATTTTTCGGCCACTTATCGTCGGCAATTTGGCCGGATGGACTGAAATTAAAAAAAAATTGAATAGTTACGGTACTAAATTAACAGTTTTGAAACGTGTGGACTGAAATTAACAACACCCCAATAGTCATAAGACCAAAAGTAAAATTAACTCTACTAATAATTTACTAATTATATAACAGTAAAATTTAATTTAATAAATAATAATAGTATATCCATTATCACGTATATTTTTTTTTTTGAATACTTACAAAGTAGTATCTGTTCTATACTTTCTCGATCTTGTGACCTTCTCTCAAAGAGAGCCACAGAGATGCCATTTGAGATTCTGAGCACAAGGTACTTGGCCCGTTATCACATATCACATATATATTTTATAACAACAACAATTGACTACTTATATAAAAATTACATTTAATTTAAATAATAATAATAATAATAATAATAATAATAATAATAATAATAACAATAATAAATAAATAAATAAATGAAACTCTTCATTAATAAATTAATAAATATTCTTTATAATACTAAAAAAATAACAATTAAATAACATAAAAATAAAAATCATATGTTTTCTATTTTCTATCAAATAAACATATTAAAATTAAAAACAAACAATTGTGGTTTAAAATAAAAGGCACAAGTGTCAAATAGGCCCATCTACTACTGCGAAGTGCTCAATTTTCACCACAAACTAAATTAAGTGTCAAATAGGTCCATCTACGAGTTAAATTTGTTCAATTGACTTTTTTTTACAGATTAATAACATGTTACCTATTTAATTATTAAAAGAAATAAAATAAAATAAAATAAAATATTAAAAAAAAAAAGAAAAAAAAAAAAAGAATACAGCCACCGGCTGCCCGGCGTGGACAGCCGGCGGCTGTATTTTTTTTTTTTTTTTATAATAATTTTTAAATTATTTTAAAATTATTTTTTAATAATTGAATTGGTAACCTGTAAAAAAAGTCAATTACCTGCAAAAAAAAGCTAATTGAACAAATTTAGTAGGTAAGTGTGGTTAATTAGCCTTTAATTTAGTTCATGGTGAGAATTGAGCACTTGACAATAGTACATGGACCTATTTGACACTTCTCTCAAAATAAAAAGAAAAAAATGAGGGAAAGGATTTTACGGTTTAAGAAGAGAAGTTGGGAGTTCAAATTAAGGAATGAGTAAATACTCAAAATGGTCCCTCGACTATAGCTAAATTCACAAATTGGTCATCGACTTTCAATTTCAACCAATTAAGTCCTTAAATTTGAAATTTTAACACGATTTGATCCTCTGTCTATTTGACCGTTTGTTGACCGTGATTTTTGAGGATACATATGTAATTTCACGATTCTGCATCATTCGCCGCGATTCTGCATCATCGACGGCGGCTGCGCCGTCATCGACGATCTCCAGAAGAACCTGCAGCTCTCGTCGAAGCACATAGAGGCCTCCAAGATGACATTGCACCGTTTCGGAAACACGTCATCTTCTTCGCTCTGGTATGAACTCAACTACATTGAATCCAAAGGGAGGATGAAGAAAGGCGACCGGATTTGGTAGATTGCTTTCGGCAGTGGATTCAAATGTAACAGTGCGGTCTGAAAATGCAACCGGAACCAATTTGTGAATTTAGCTATAGTCGAGGGACCATTTTGAGAATTTACTCTTAACGAATTTAAAAATTTTTCTCCAAGCGTCAATGTCAAATGTTATTCCAAGTACTTCTTCAAAATCAATTTTTTGGATCAAATAATGACTGATCTGTTAGTATTTCAATGGTAATAAGAGGACTAAACCCATAGAACATATACTACCTTAAAAAGACTCACAAATATTTATTTAGCATACAAGACCAAACAACTTAAAGAGGCCAGTTTTTTTTTTTTTTTTTTTTTTTTTTTTTTTTTTTTTTTTTAATCAGACCACGGGGTGTTTTGAGCGCAAATTATGCTGTGGACTCGTGTCCATAATGCATTGTGAACACGAGTCTAAAACGACGTCGTTTTAAGGGAAAACGTGACTTTCCAGTAAAAAAAATTTTTTTTGATTGTCTCGCCGTTAACGACGTTATTCGTTTGTGGCATTATGAATGTATAGTTATGGAATTATGAATGTATAGTTATGCAATTATGAATGTACAGTTATGGAATTATGAATGTAAGTTATGGAATTATGAACACAGAGCTCTGACATTATGAACTTACAATTATGAACATATAGTGATAAAGTTATGAACATAGAGCTCTAAAATTGTGAACATAGAGTTTCGAAAATTATGAATTTACAGTTATTCAATTATGAATGTACAGTTACGGAATTATGAATGTACAGTTATGCAATTATGAATGTACAGTTATGCAATTATGAACACAGAGCTCTGACATTATGAACATATAGTGATAAAATTATGAACATATACTCCTATAACAAAGTGGTCTGATATTTTTTTTTTTAAAAAAAAGGGAAGAGAATGGTGCCACTAACGGTACCGTTACCGTGTCCAGCATGCATCCTGGACACGTGTCCATAGCATAACGATTGTGTTCTGAGCATATAGGCTCTAACGGTAGGATGCACCTTTAAGCCCGCACCATACTCAGATTAGTCCCGATTTGCATTGGGGTGTTCTCAGCAGACAAACTCTAACAGTAGGATGCACCTTTAAGCCCGTACGATACTCAGATTAGTCATGTTTCGCATCGAGCTGCCTCAAGAGTAAAGTGTTGACCAAATTAATTTTTACAAGAGAGGTTCAAACTCTCAACCTTTTTTTAAGGAACAAGAGTGTACGGTCATTCACACTAATAAGTCTATTTCTAAAGAGGCCAGTTTGTCACTACGATATGCAGAATCTTTTCGTAGATGGTTAGTGGGGGTTAAAGCTAATGTTAGGTTGAGTGCTTGTAACCTTAAATAATTGAAGGAATATATAATCCATAAGAATTAAAGAATGTTGAAGTGAAAATGGAGGTAAATTAATTACTACTTCTCTTGTATGTTCTTACGGTCTTACCTTCATACTATACACACAAGGAACAAACTTTCACTTTCAATTCAGCGAAGAACAAAAATCTCCCAAACTTTTGTGTCGCCATCTAAGCCACCGCTATAGAGGAGATACGAGGATGTTTCATCGTCACCCTCGTGGTGACAATCACTCGCCGCCGTCAAACACTTCACCGGCCCGTCGTGCCCCGCCAACACCGCCACACAAGAGTAACATCTCTCGACGCCTCGCCGCCAAATTCTTATCGTTTTGTCCGCCGACCCACTGCACACCAAATCCGCCACCACACCCAGACACAGTATTGCTTTCTTATGGCCCCTGAGCGCCGCCACGGTGCGCCCGCCGCCGCCGCCGCAATCGTTCTCCCAGACCAAAATGGTCCTGTCGGAGGAGCCGGAATATAGAACCGAACCATTCATGTCCACTGCTAATGCGTTTATCCCGGAGCTGTGTTTCTCTAGCGTGGCAACCAGGGAGTGGTTCTTCTCGCCGCCGTGGGGTTTTCCCCAGACCTTAATTTTCTTGTCCGCCGATCCGGTATAGACGCGGCCGTCTCGCGACGCTGCTAGAGCGTTAATGGCGTCGTCGTGTGCGTTTTCGATTGATTGTATACATTTGAAATCGGGCGTGCTCCAAATCTTGAGGGTCCGGTCCCAGGAAACAGAGTAAAGGAGAGATTCGTCTTGGGACAGGGCGAGGGCCGAGACGGCGTCGACATGGTGGACCCAGGTGGAGGTCTTGTGGCGTCTGATCTGGACGTGGTTCTTCGGCCGGAGATATTTGATTGCCCGGTCGCTGAGAATCGGCAGCGTGGCCAAGTGTGCCAAGGTTTGGGTATCCGAGTTGTGATGATTGTTGATCTTCCATACCCGGATTTTGTTGTCTTGGTGAGCGCTGAATATTTTGTCGCCGGCTGAAACCACCAGGGACTTCACCGCCCCTTTTCCGGCCACCACCACCACCACGTCGTCGTTAGTGGGATTTTCGTGATCTGCTCGGCGCTTCCACATGCGGATTTCTTTGTCGGAGGAACCGGTGAAAAGGAATTTTCCGGCGAGTACGAGGGATGAGGTGTAAGAGTTGTGACTCTTCAGTGTGGCCACACACCGGTGGTGGCTCTGCGATGTGAGGGAAGGTGTAGTGGACCGGGAATGTATAGAAGTTGAAGCATTTTCTGCAAAAATTTCTTCGTTGGAGCTTGAAGGTTGGTCATAACTTGTCATTCTACCTAAATGGAGAAGGATGACATAAAGAAGCTTGGGAAATTAAACTTAGCTTTAGCCTTGATTTTGTTGTTGTAAGGTTATATAGTGCTCACACCCCAAATGCTTGATGATTGTTTGTAGTAATTTAATGTGAAGTTGTGAACCAATATTTTAATTACTTGTCAACTTGAATAAAATTAATCATCTCAATAATACTACGGAGTATATTAGAATAGAGTTAATACATGCAATGGTCCTCCGAGTATTAGCGTTTTACCAGTTATGATCATCTGACTTTTAAACGATCACAAGACGTCCTTCAAGTTTTTAAAAATAATCAGTTATGGTCCTCCCAATTTGGTGTCAAATGGACGTTAAATGTGAGGGTAATGATGTCATTTCACCTGAAAACCACCCGTGATAAAAAAAAAATATTTTTTAAAACTTGGAGGACATGTCGTGGTTGTTTAAAAGTCATGACCACAGCTGATAAAATGTTAATACTCGAAAGACCATTAGAGGTATTAACTCTATTACAGTAATTAATAAATTGTCGGGACAACCCTAATTGATCATGTCATTAACTTAATAATCACAAAATTTTAAATTATAGTCAATTTATTTGTCTTAAATAGTTGGTAGAGGTAAATCGCATTCTTAACTTCTACACTAGTGCCAATTAAACTCTATTAGTAAAAGTTTAATGTAGTGAACACACTCCTATATAATGCCTTTATATTTAAAGCTAATTAAATCCTCATGTAACCAAGCTCCATTCTCGATTAACTCAAAGATCATAGCTAGCTAGCTAGCTAGGTTGTGCCAAGTATAGATTGAGTTTCCATGAGCTCAACTTTGGCCTTCACACCTCACATCCCCATTAGCTTGAAGTGCTTGGCAAAAAAAAAATTTCTTAACAACTTTTGGAACTAAATAAACTAAAAAACATATATTTTACCAAGTCTAAATTTCAAAAATACCAATACTTTGAACTTCTAAACAACTTGGATAGAGGCCGGTTTTATGTTTTGAGCATAGAGATATTAAGATTAAATACTCAATTATTTAGATATATAATAAGTGAATAATATAATAGGAATACAATATAACTATCTTAGTAGACTAATGAATTTTTTACTATTATATTGTTTGATTAGGAACCAAATTTCTACAAGCTAAGTATATATTCGGCTAACAATTTGACAGAATAACAATATAAAAAACTAAATAAGTTTTCAAACCCTCTATTTATACACTTTGATCCTTTGTCATCTAGTTATAGCCAATATAAATGGATTCTCTAACCGCAACTACACACTTTGAAAACCATGCATCTCCATCATTGTAGTTATCATGGTTTTAGGTGGTTCCTTGTAGTTATCATGGTTTTAGGCGGTTTTGGTGTGATGGAAGCATGCCATTTTTTCTAGCCACTAAATCATGAAGTTGGAGTGTGATGGGGCCATGAGGCCTATAACCCATTTTATTGGCAAGGTATTGACTCAAGAAATGTGAAAAAAGGGGTCTTGTTAGGCTTAAAGGAGGGAATGGAACAAATGAGGCCCAAAAGGGAAGGTAGTGGACTTGGAATGAGGGCATGTCCATCAGGAGGGGAAAGGGAGTAGGTAGGCCCATGGGGAGTCATGATCGGCCCCAACTTACCCGTGACTGGCTGATGGGGGTGGTTCTCAAGACTCACCGGGCCATGGTATGATCGGCGGGAACCAGGCGCCCCCCCTCACATCAGTGGTGCCCCGCCCCATCAATGGGGGTACACCCCACACCCCACTATACACATGGTATGGAGGTGAGGGAGCAAAATGTTAAATTCAAACCCGCAACCTATTAGATGACAAAACAAACACTAACCAACCAAGTTACTTCACACTTTATTTAGAAAAGTGTGGCAGGCTATATATAATCAATTGAAGGGCATTTGTGGCAAAGTAAGTGGGTCATGACCGGCTCCAAGCCGGTTAGTGCCTAGCCTGCAGGAGGGCTCCCCGAACCACAGCGTGGCCAACGGGGGTTGAGAGCCCCCCGGCACACAGTAAGCGGGCGTGGTGAAAGGGGTAGACATGAGCCATGTGGGTGGGGGAAGTGTAGTGCCCTTTTGGACATCCATGTCTGGTTTACAACATCCTTGATGCACAATCCCTCCTAGCCTGGTCGCCTGGTGGTGTTTCATCCTGACTTCCAACGCAACTACTTGGGTTCGATAATTTAATTCCTAGGGAGTCTACATTATTCATAGCTTAATACTGGGCTTTACTTGTCGTTTATTGTTTATTTCTTAGGCCATTCTTTGGGTCGGTATCTTAGGCTGTTGTATATATTCTTTTTAGCTTAGTGTTGTGAACACGGGATCATTCATGATTGAGTTGTTAATAAAGTTTGGTGCCATTATAATTTTAAATTAAGTAGTTTTTATAAATTTATCATATAATATTATACTTACCCATATTATTTGTTATTCATGTTTCTAGTTAACTTGCGCCAACGTATAACCATTAATGTGCAATCCAACTATCAGCTCATGTGAGCTTAGGATTAGTTCGATCCATTAATGTGCAATCCAACTATCAGCTCATGTGAGCGATGAATTTTTGAGATAGAAAACAACAACTATCACAGTTTTTTCTCATACATGTTTCTAGTAAGATTCGAACCCCATATTAGGACCCCATACATGTTTCTAGTGGGATTCAAACCCCACATTGTGGCCTCCCATCATTACCTTCAAACCAACTACACTAACTCCCCATAACATCTCTACTACTTTTTATTCATGACAGTGATATTTATAAATGTAGAATTCTAGTTTCATTGAACACTTCCCAACATAACTAGAAATACTAACAAACTACAAACAAATTAATCATGATAAAAATAAATAACAAATGATAAAGGAAATCTAAGATAACTAAAACTCCTAACTCTAATCTAATCCTAACTAACAATAATTAGTACGCAAGACTTCAACAACAAACAATCTGTTTAAGTCCCAAATTAACTAACTAAACAACCCACAACCTCTCCTATAAGGAAGCAACTTGGTGTCATTGGACCACAAGATCCTTGACACTTTAATCTATTAGTTATATCTAAATTGTAGACTCAATCCATGAATTATTATCATATACAAATTTTTCTCATTAATTATGTTAAAAGTGACAGTTTCAATCCATCACTCATAGATGTTGTTAACATTAACAATTTATTTTGAATTTCCAAATTATTAAAGGACATATTAGTCATTTTGTAAACTTTTTTCAAATTTCTTCCATGAATCTTCATATATACACTACTCTTATCGTAAAATCATTTCTAAATACTTGTCTATCTTGATTGAGGAGGAATCTACGAAGCAAAAATGACAAGCAGGGTATTACTTAGAATTGAAGATAGAATGAATTGTTTGTTATTTTTGCTTCTCAGATTCCTCCTCAATCAAGACAGAGAAGTATTTAGCAAGAGTTTTGCACTTTTGCGGTAAGAGTATCGTGTATATGAAGATTTATGGAGAGAATTTGAAATTTTTTTTTTATAAAATGACCAATATATCCTTTAATAATTTAGAAATTCAAAATAAATTGTTAATATTAACAAAATTTTTATAAGTAATGGATTGAAACTGTCACTTTCAACATAATTAAAGGAGAAAATTTGTATAGGATAATAATTCTTTCGGACCTAGTTTATAATTTAGGTATAATTAATGGACTAAAATCGCCATTTTTTTTGCCTATAATATATATGATAATTTCTAAAAACTAATTAATTTAAAATTATAATGGCACCAAACTTTATTAACAACTCAATCAATGATGGCTCCCATGTTCGCAACATCTAGTGCCCCAAGCAATATTATTATTCTTTTTCTACCCCCATTTTGTATATCTGTACCAATTTATGGTGAGTTCGGGTCGTATAAAACCATCAGAGTTTGGTGTATGAAATAAGATATTAAATTCTATTATTAAATATAATTATCTAAAACTTTTAAAGAATAACAGTTCAAAATAATTAAATGAAAGGTCAAAAGTGTCATTTTATTAACTTAACGATTAAAAATGATCACACTTCTAATATAAAGATGATATTTACGATTACCCTACAACTCAACTTAAGAACCAAGAACCAATATTGTAAATCTTCAAAATTTTACTATACAATTTTTAGTTTAAAAAATTTCTATACGTAATTAGGCTGGTCCCCATGTCACTACATCTAGTTGTTGGAGGTGAAGGTCATGTGACGTGTTTGGTTCATCAAAAAAACAGAGAATATTCAGTTGAGTGCTCCCTCTCCCTCTCCCCCGCTCTCTCTCTCTATTAGCCGTGCGCAAAAAATAGCAATAATAAAGAGATAATATCTACTACGTATGATGTAGAAAAACTTTGTTAATTGTTAATAGAGTAAATACCCAAAATAATCCATCGACTATAGCTAAATTCACAAATTGGTCTTTGACTTTCAATTTCAACCAATTAAGTCCTTAACTTTGTAATTTTAACACAATTTGGTCCTCTGTCTATTTGACCGTTTGTTGACTGTGCTTTTTGAGGATATATATGTAATTTCATGGTCCATCGTCGGATTTTTAAGGTTCTGGTTGCATTTTCAGACCGCACTGTTACATTTGAATCCGCTGCTGAAAGCAATCTACCAAATCCGGTTGTCTTTCTTCATCCTCCCTTTGGATTCAATGTAGTTGAGTTCATACCAGAGCGAAGAAGACGACGTGTTTCCGAACCGGTGCAACGTCATCCTGGAGGCCTCCACGTGCTCCAACGAGAGCTGAAGGTTCTTCTGGAGATCGTCGATCACGGTCAACAAATAGTCAAATAGATGGAGGACCAAATCGTGTCAAAATTGCAAAGTTAAGGATTTAATTGGTTAAAATTGAAAGTCGAGGACCAATTTGTGAATTTAGCTATAGTCGAGGGACCATTTTAGGTATTTACTCTTGTTAATACTTAAGTTGTGTTTGGTTCGCACATAGGAATCAAAATCAGAATCATAATGTAAATCAAATACTAATATTGATGTTTGGTTGTGTATGACCATGTAATGGGAATAATAAAGGGTTTAAAAATACAAAAAATAAAAATAAAATAATCAAGGTAATTGATATATCCTAATATAAAGACATCCGAAGTATTAAAAAAAAAAAAAAAAAAAAAAAAACTCAAAACAAAAA